AGAGCCTGCGCCATGCGGCCATTAAAGATACATTGAAATTCGAGTTGGATTGGTGAAAATAAACTTTTTCAAGAGGTTTTGTTTGCAGACAAATATTGAGTTAAAACATAAACTAATTTAACTCAAATATCGCTTTACAACACCCATTACATTACAGTATTTTAAAAAGCATTTTCTTTCAGTTTCTAGCTTTAAACCACATTTAAATCAAATTTATCTGCAGGTCAAAAGTACATTCCAGATTTACATCTTCTGTACGAATTCTATTTCCGTGTAGCCTGGCCGCAGATAGTAAAACAATTATCTGATCCAATATTTTAAAAGATAATTCTTACTGGTGACAGGAAAGATGCGCAATGGAAAACTGCTCACTAAAGTGTGCAAGTGCATGTATGGTTACTTAAATCGAGCATTTATAGACATAAACATAATAGAGTGTACATTGTAGCATAAAACACTTTTCCGCGAAAAATGACGAAATTAATGTGTATAAGTGTAATATGTTTGCATTTGTGTATTTTTACGTGCGCAGTTTTCCATTGCGCAATTTACCGTTTACGCATTTTTCTGGAAATCATTTTAACTATATATTACATGTCAAACATTCATGTATCAAAAGCTGGAGTTTTATTATGTCGTAAAATTTGATTTTTGAAAAACCCAAGTTTTATTATTTCATTAAAGTCAAGGTCAAAACTCAATTGCTGACATGATTCATGCAACCGACGAGATTCACGCGACAAGCAACGAGATTCACGCGATAGTGTACAGCGAGCCACGTATCAACGAAATCCCGAGCTCGCGAGATAGGTGTGACATAGCGCCCGTTTTATTTCGAGTTTTAGTAGAGGTGGTCCAAATATTTTCTTTGGCAGACGATCATGTCAGTAGACATGTGATTATGTCAGTAGACAAATGTCACGTGATCATGTCAGTAGAAATGTGATTATGTCAGTAGACAAATGTCATGTTTGTGGTTAGTAGACCACTGTAAATATGTTGGTGCCAAAACAATCACGTGCGTGCTATGACACATACCCCCCATGCGACACACCCCTGTCTTTATACCCCATGTGACACACCCCTGTCCTCCCCCATGTGACACACCCCTGTCTTTAACCCCCCATGGGACACACCCCTGTCCTCCCCCATGTGACACACCCCTGTCTTTATACCCCCCCCCATGGGACACACCCCTGTCTTTATACCCCCCATGGGACACACCCCTGTCTTTATACCCCCCCATGGGACACACCCCTGTCTTTATACCCCCCATGGGACACACCCCTGTCCTTCCCCATGGGACACACCCCTGTCTTTATACCCCCCATGGGAAACACCCCTGTCTTTAACCCCCCATGTGACACACCCCTGTCCTTCCCCATGGGACACACCCCTGTCTTTATACCCCCCATGGGAAACACCCCTGTCTTTAACCCCCCATGTGACACACCCCTGTCCTTCCCCATAGGACACACCCCTGTCCTCCCTCATGGAACACACCCCTGTCTTTATACCCCCCCCCATGTGACACACCCCTGTCCTTCCCCATGGGACACACCCCTGTCTTTATACCCCCCATGGGACACACCCCTGTCTTTATACCCCCCTCCCATGTGACACACCCCTGTCCTCCCCCATGTGACACACCCCTGTCCTTCCCCATAGGACACACCCCTGTCTTTATACCCCCCATGGAACACACCCCTGTCTTTATACCCCCCCATAGGACACACCCCTGTCTTTATACCCCCCATGGGACACACCCCTGTCTTTATACCCCCCCCCCCCATAGGACACACCCCTGTTTTTATACCCCCCCCCATAGGACACACCCCTGTCTTTATACCCCCCCCCATGTGACACACCCCTGTCCTCCCCCATAGGACATACCCCTGTCTTTATACCCCCCCATGTGACACACCCCTGTCCTCCCCCATGTGACACACCCCTGTCTTTATACCCCCCCCATGTGACACACCCCTGTCCTCCCCCATAGGACATACCCCTGTCTTTATACCCCCCCCCATAGGACACACCCCTGTCTTTATACCCCCCATAGGACACACCCCTGTCTTTATACCCCCCTCCTATGTGACACACCCCTCTCCTTGCCACTAAGATAACACAAACTACACTTTTTAAACCCTCTATTGAACACTAGCGCCCATCACACCTTTAATAAACCACACGACAGACTTTCACTTAACCACACATCAACCACACCAAACACTAACCAGTTACTTTTCTAGCTGCAGCCAGTAGTTCTCCTAGCTGCAGCCATATGCCATTTCTCCACAGCAATAGTGGGACGGTTCCCCTAGCTGCAGCCATATGCCATTTCTCCACAGCTATAGTGGGACGGTTCCCCTAGCTGCAGCCATATGCCATTTCTCCACAGCAATAGTGGGACGGTTCCTCTAGCTGCAGCCATATGCCATTTCTCCACAACAATAGTGGGACGGTTCCCTAGCTGCAGCCATATGCCATTTCTCCACAGCAATAGTGGGACAGTTCCCCTAGATTCAGCCATATGCCATTTCTCCACAGCAATAGTGGGACGGTTCCCTTAGCTGCAGCCATATGCCATTTCTCCACAGCAATAGTTGGACGGTTCCCCTAGCTGCAGCCATATGCCATTTCTCCACAGCAATAGTGGGACGGTTCCCTTAGCTGCAGCCATATGCCATTTCTCCACAGCAATAGTGGGACGGTTCCCCTAGCTGCAGCCATATACCATTTCTCCACAGCAATAGTGGGACGGTTCCCATAGCTGCAGCCATATACCATTTCTCCACAGCAATAGTTGGACGGTTCCCCTAGCTGCAGCCATATACCATTTCTCCACGGCAATAGTGGGACGGTTCCATTAGCTGCAGCCATATACCATTTCTCCACAGCAATAGTGGGACGGTTCCCATAGCTGCAGCCATATACCATTTCTCCACAGCAATAGTTGGACGGTTCCCCTAGCTGCAGCCATATGCCATTTCTCCACAGCAATAGTGGGACGGTTCCCTTAGCTGCAGCCATATGCCATTTCTCCACAGCAATAGTGGGACGGTTCCCCTAGCTGCAGCCATACGCCATTTCTCCACAGCAATAGTGGGACGGTTCCTCTAGCTACAGCCATATGCCATTTCTCCACAGCAATAGTGGGACGGTTTCCTTAGCTGCAGCCATATGCCATTTCTCCACAGCAATAGTGGGACGGTTCCCCTAGCTGCAGCCATATGCCATTTCTCCACAGCAATAGTGGGACAGTTCCCCTAGCTGCAGCCATATGTCATTTCTCCACAGCAATAGTGGGACGGTTCCCCTAGCTGCAGCCATATGCCATTTCTCCACAGCAATAGTGGGACGGTTCCCCTAGCTGCAGCCATATACCATTTCTCCACAGCAATAGTCGGACGGTTCCCCTAGCTGCAGCCATACGCCATTTCTCCACAGCAATAGTGGGACGGTTTCCCTAGCTGCAGCCACATGCCATTTCTCCACAGCTATAGTGGGACAGTTCCCATAGCTGCAGCCATATACCATTTCTCCATAGCAATAGTGGGACGGTTCCCCTAGCTGCAGCCATATACCATTTCTCCACAGCTATAGTGGGACGGTTCCCATAGCTGCAGCCATATACCATTTCTCCACAGCTATAGTGGGACGGTTCCCTTAGCTGCAGCCATATGCCATTTCTCCACAGCAATAGTGGGACGGTTCCCTAGCTGCAGCCATATGCCCTTTCTCCACAGCAATAGGTTCCCCTAGCTGCAGCCATTTACCATTTCTCCACAGCAATAGTGGGACGGTTCCCTAGCTGCAGCCATATGCCCTTTCTCCACAGCAATAGTGGGACGGTTCCCTAGCTGCAGCCATATGCCCTTTCTCCACAGCAATAGGTTCCCCTAGCTGCAGCCATATGTCATTTCTCCACAGCAATAGTGGGACGGTTCCCCTAGCTGCAGCCATATGCCATTTCTCCACAGCAATAGTGGGACGGTTCCCCTAGCTGCAGCCATATACCATTTCTCCACAGCAATAGTCGGACGGTTCCCCTAGCTGCAGCCATACGCCATTTCTCCACAGCAATAGTGGGACGGTTTCCCTAGCTGCAGCCACATGCCATTTCTCCACAGCTATAGTGGGACAGTTCCCATAGCTGCAGCCATATACCATTTCTCCATAGCAATAGTGGGACGGTTCCCCTAGCTGCAGCCATATACCATTTCTCCACAGCTATAGTGGGACGGTTCCCATAGCTGCAGCCATATACCATTTCTCCACAGCTATAGTGGGACGGTTCCCTTAGCTGCAGCCATATGCCATTTCTCCACAGCAATAGTGGGACGGTTCCCTAGCTGCAGCCATATGCCCTTTCTCCACAGCAATAGGTTCCCCTAGCTGCAGCCATTTACCATTTCTCCACAGCAATAGTGGGACGGTTCCCTAGCTGCAGCCATATGCCCTTTCTCCACAGCAATAGTGGGACGGTTCCCTAGCTGCAGCCATATGCCCTTTCTCCACAGCAATAGGTTCCCCTAGCTGCAGCCATTTACCATTTCTCCACAGCAATAGTGGGACGGTTCCCTAGCTGCAGCCATATGCCCTTTCTCCACAGCAATAGGTTCCCCTAGCTGCAGCCATTTACCATTTCTCCACAGCAATAGTGGGACGGTTCCCTAGCTGCAGCCATATGCCCTTTCTCCACAGCAATAGGATTCCCTAGCTGCAGCCATATACCATTTCTCCACAGCAATAGTGGGACGGTTCCCTTAGCTGCAGCCATATGCCATTTCTCCACAGCAATAGTGGGACGGTTCCCCTAGCTGCAGCCATATACCATTTCTCCACAGCAATAGTCGGACGGTTCCCCTAGCTGCAGCCATATGCCATTTCTCCACAGCTATAGTGGGACGGTTTCCCTAGCTGCAGCCACATGCCATTTCTCCACAGCTATAGTGGGACGGTTCCCCTAGCTGCAGCCATATACCATTTCTCCACAGCTATAGTGGGACGGTTCCCCCTGTGCCCCAGAGGCTGCACTGCGTGCTCCCCAGTCAACGGCTGCGTGGCGTGCGAGGACAGCCTGTATCTCTTTCTGCACCGACAGAATGCACGTGAGATCGGCATCTGCACGCTGTCCTGTCCTGTCGGCTACTACAGGCAGCGTGAGCAGTATTTTAACAAGTGTGTCAGTGAGTACATCTTTCTTCCTTCATTATGATTATGTCCTTTAAATTCTTTGTCTTCAATCTTTATACTTGAAATCTAACACTACTTTAATGACTCACCGCTATATACAGACCTTAAACTTGGCACAATCTAACTTAATCGTTGTGTTTCATACATTCGAAGATTAAATTGTTTTTAAATTATGAAATTTTTATATAAACATTAATAAAATAAATAAATAAATATTTATAAATAAATATATATATATATATATATATATATATATATATATATATATATATATATATATATATATATATATATATATATATATATATGTGTGTGTGTGTGTGTGTGTGTTTGTATTGTGTGTCTATGGGTGGATGGCTAGTTATATATATGTGTGTGAGTGTGTGTGTGTGTGTGTGTGAGTTAGTGATTGAGTTAGTGTGTGTGTGAGAGAGTGTGAGTGTGTGAGTGTTATGAGAGTATGAGCTGGAGCATGTGTAAAATGAGTGTGTGAGTGTGTGTGTGTGTGAGTATGTGTGCGTGTGAGTGTCTGTGTGTGTGAGCGTGAGTGTCTCTGTGTCTGTGTGTGTGTGAGTGTGAGCGTGTGTGTGTGTGAGTGTTTCTGTGTGTGTGTGACTGACGAATGCCCATCCTGTTCCAGAATGCCACATACGCAACTGCTACAACTGCTTCAGCCGCCAGTTTTGTGTTATGTGCGAGTCGCCCTACCTGCTGTACGGTGGGCAGTGTGTCGAGAGCTGCCCCAATGGACTCTACTACGCCAACTTTACCAACGAGTGCAAGGACAGGGGTAAGTGAGGGTCTGGAAGACAGGGGTAAGCTAATTGTCGGAAGACACGGGTAAGCAACCCCCATTTGCACTGACGGTTGTCTGAAAATTTTGTGTTTATATAAGAACGATAATTGCCAAATATTATTGACACTTTGTTAATGCTGAGTTATTTCCCTTAATACTCTCGGTGAAATAACATTAGAAGAACTTTAAGAAGTCAATTTAATGAAAATAAAGTAAGTGTTGTGTTACCTGATCGACCTCTACTTCCGGTGTTTAGTTGACTGTATCCCCGGGGGATGGTCTCCCTGGACCGAGTGCACGAGGAACGGCCAAACCTGCGGCTTCCGGTACGGCACACAGACCCGGACCCGGCCGGTTCTACAGCCGGCATCGGCCAACGGCGAGCCGTGTCCGGCCTTGACCGACTCGCAACGCTGTCAGCTGGCACAGAGACACTGTGATGGTAAGTCACACATCATGATGGTAAGTCACACATCATGATGGTAAGTCACACATCATGATGGTAAGTCACACATCATGATGGTAAGTCACACATCATGATGGTAAGGCACACATCATGATGGTAAATCACACATCATGATGGTAAGTCACACATCATGATGACATTTTGATGTCACCCGCATCATGATGACATTTTGATGTCACACACATCATGATGACATTTTGATGTCACACACATCATGATGACATGTTGATGTCACACCTCATGATGACATTTTGATGTCACCCGCATTATGATGACATTTTGATGTCACACACATCATGATGACATTTTGATGTCACACACATCATGATGACATTTTGATGTCACCATCATGATGACATTTTGATGTCACCATCATGATGACATTTTGATGTCACACACATCATGATGACATTTTGATGTCACCATCATGATGACATTTTGATGTCACCATCATGATGACATTTTGATGTCACACACATCATGATGATATTTTGATGTCACACACATCATGATGACATTTTGATGTCACACACATCATGATGACATTTTGATGTTACCCACATGGTGACATTTTGATGTCACCCACATCATGATGACATTTTGATGTCACCTACATCATAATGACATTTTGATGTCACACATCATGATGACATTTTGATGTCACCCACATCATGATGACATTTTGATGTCACCCACATCGTTATGACATGTTGATGTCACCCACATCATGATGACAACATAAATCACAACTCACTTATAATTTAACTACTAAATTGATATTTCAATTCTTGAATTACCCTTGATTTTAATTGTTACATATTTTAATGTGTTACCTATCAACCCTGTTATTACTCGGTTACCAATTTACCCATGTTAACTTTATGTTACCTCTCAGTTACCTGTTTATCTGTGATAACTATTTATGTTACCTCTCTACCCAAGTTACCACTTACCTGTGTCACCTCTATGATAACACTTACCTGTGTTACCTCTAGTCGAGTTACCACTTGCCTGTGATCTCACATCCACATGTGGTTGCCACACATGAACACAGGGGGCGTGTCATCTGCATGTTTAATTTACTAACAAAAAAACTTTCGGCGTCCAGAGAAATTCATGAGTAGCGCCCAGTAACAATCAGATTTTAACCCCTACTCGCTATGTTGTTTAGTAAATAGCCACGCTATCTATGGCGATATAACAAATAACCACATAACAAAATAACCACATAACAATATAACCACTATTAGCCTATAATGGTTGGGAATTTAACCACTAACCGTGTAACCAGTCAACCATGTAACCAAAAGCCACTTCTATGTACAGACTGGTTTTTCTTCAACCCAGGAGAGTGTCAACGCCCCAAGAGGAACAGGAAGAAGAAGAAGAGGAAGGACAGACGCCGGAGGAAAAAATGGCGGCGCCCGGGGGGGAGACGATTCCCCGCACGGAGAGGTAGAAAGTGGGGCGGGAGGCGGAGGGACAACCGGAAATATCCCACCCGCAAGAAGAAAGTGCGCCTGCGCAGACCATGTCGGGGATGCAAGATGAGGTGTCGAAGGGGGCGCATCCAAAATTTCTGAGCTAGGGCGCTCGTGCTAGGGCGCTCGTTTCGTGGGGGTAGTGACGATACCAAATGGGACGATACCAGTTTTCATGTGACGATACCAGTTCACATGTAACGATACCAGTCCACATGTGACGTTACCACATGTGACGATACCAGTTCACATGTGACGATACCTAATGGAACGATACCAGTTCTCATGTGACGATACCAGTTCACATGTGGCGATACCACTTAAGTCGATACCACTCCCTATCCAACATTCTATCATTATGTGGTTTAGATGTAGAAAATACTACGGCAGCCAATTTGATTGATGCTCTTGATGTACATGCATATAACACGCCCCCTCTATTCATGTTTGCCTGTTTACAAACTATAGCTCCACCCCTTATTTCATCAGTTACAAAATGTATTTCTTTTTTTTTCATTCTCGTGAACGAAATGAAAATCTAGCGGTCATTCATCTAAAATATGTACCTTGTGCTAAAGGTCAAGCATGGATTTACAATACACACTTTGTTTCGTGTATATTCGAAATGTTGATACAACTTTTCCTTTTTCCCAAGAGGCACATAGAGGGGGCGCTACAAGTCACACGTGGCCGAGTGTCTCACGGGGACCGCCCAGATACGTCTCGTCCACGTCTGCTGCTTACGTCATCGCTTTCTACGCTCTGTGCTCCAGGTTCATAAGGGGGATAACTGATGATAATCTAAACTCAATATTTTAATAAAGCTTCAATTGTCTCCCTTCAATTGAAAACAAACCTCAGTTAAATATTTCTTTAGATAGAGAGTTACGCAGAAGGTTGTATTCAATCCCAAGTGTTAAAAATTTTTTTTCTGTCGTAATTCAATACAAACTGTTACAATGTTTCCAGTCTGAATTCAATACAGTGTTACAAGTTTTTGTCTGAATTCAATACCAAATGTTGCAACGTTCTCGAGCTGTAGTTAACCGAAGTGTTACGATGTATCCAGTCTGAATTCAATACAAAGTGTTACAAGTTTTCCAGTCTGAACTCTGAATTGTATACACAATGTCCCAAGGTTTTTGCCTAGATGTCACTGTGCGTGTACTCTGCTATCACTTCGGCTGGAGATGGTCGGTTTGGATGAGACGGGACCCTAATTAAAGCAATAATTACCACTCAGTCGCCGCCCCTGCCGTGAGACCACTTAAAGCTGGTCAATACAAGGGCCGAGCACTCGTTTAGCTCTGTGTGTGCTGAGGTGGTCAGCAGGAGAGCTGGGAGCTAAAACGGTTGGTTCTTTCAACATCCGGTTGTGGGAGTTCAAAGTTGAAGGGGAAATAATCGAAGAAATCAAACGTGAGCCGTACAAAGTGAACATCGAGAAACACGGCTTCAAATATATGTGTGTTTGTGGTGTGTAGCTGTGGTGTGTATGTGGTGTATATGTGGTGTGGTCTGTATGTGGTGTGAAGCGTATGTGTTGTGTAGCTTATGTGGTGTGTAGCTTATGTGGTGTGTAGCTTATATTATGTGTACCTATGTGCTGTGTACCTATGTGATGTGTACCTATGTGCTGTGTACCTATGTGCTGTGTCTGTGCTGTGTACCTATGTGCTGTGTATCTATGTAATGTGTACCTATGTGATGTGTACCTGTGTGATGTGTACCTATGTGCTGTGTACCTATGTGATGTGTACCTATGTGCTGTTGTCTGTGATGTGTAATGAAGATCTGCTCTAGGATAACTGCTGTGATCAAAATCTTAAGAACACACGAAGAACGGATGAAGATCTTTTATTGCTGTTTACATTCTAAATATTTGTTTACACAAAAATCAGCTTCTATAATTTAACGTGTTTTTGTACTTTCGTTTTTGTATGGTTGATTCAGCGTTTTACTCAACTTAGTAATCAAAATGTATTAAATGATAACTATTTTGTTTTTTGACATAATATTTTTTTCTAATTAGTTAATTTCTCATCCATTCATTAAGTTTATGTCATCTCTCATCAATAACACATTTGGTGATAAATTTATTGAAAAATTGAACGGGATGCTAATTGTTTGAGTGATTGATTTAAAGCACTGGTTCACGAACCAATGATTGAACAGCGTCATTAAGTCAATCACTTACCTTGGTATTTGATTCAGTTATTGAATTGGGTCATTAATTTAATAATTGAACTGGGTCATTGATTCAAGGATTGAACTGGGTCATTAAATCAAGGATTTAACTAAGTTATTGATTTAATGACTGAACTTGGTCATTAAGTGATTGACTAAACTTGGTCATTAAGTCATTGACTGAACTTGGCCATTAAGTCGTTGACTGAACTTGGCCATTAAGTGATTGACTAAACTTGGTCATTAAGTCATTGACTGAACTTGGCCATTAAGTCATTGACTGAACTTGGCCATTAAGTGATTGACTAAACTTGGTCATTAAGTCATTGACTGGACTTGGCCATTTAGTCATTGACTGAACTTGGCCATTTAGTCATTGACTGAACCGATGACCTCTCACTGTTGTTGTTACAAATTCCTAACATGCCATGTAAATTAATTGTGTCATTTATGGCCAGCGATGGAACAATTGATCTGGCCTTGTTCATTTTGAAACGGTGTTTTTCAATTGACATTTTATTCTTCAATACTGTGTGCCATTTGGTGGGATCTATGCCATGTGACGTCATAATGTCGGCTGATTACCACGTGACAGATCTGGTTTTATGCTGAGACCACACCCCAACAATCCCAGCCCAGTACCACACGTCACCACACCCCCAACATTACACCTTCCCCATTACAGTACACCTCACCACACCCCCAACATTACACCTTCGCCATTATAGTACACCTCACCACACACCCAACATTACACCTTCCCCATTATAGTACACCTCACCTCACCACACCTCACCACACACCCAACATTACACCTTCCCCATTATAGTACACCTCACCTCACCACACCTCACCACACCCCCAACATTACACCTTCCCCATTATAGTACACCTCACCTCACCACACCTCACCACACACCCAACATTACACCTTCCCCATTATAGTACACCTCACCACACCCCAACATTACACCTTCCCCATTTTAGTACACCTCACCTCACCACACCTCACCACACCCCCAACATTACACCTTCCCCATTATAGTACACCTCACCTCACCCCCAACAATATACCTTCCCCATTATAGTACATCTCACCTCACCTCACCACACCTCACCACACCTCACCACACCCCCAACATTACACCTTCCCCATTATAGTACACCTCACCTCACCCCCAACAATATACCTTCCCCATTATAGTACATCTCACCTCACCACACCTCACCACACCCCCAACATTACACCTTCCCCATTATAGTACACCTCACCACACATCAACATCACACGTCATGCCTCGCTACTATACACCCCAACACCCACTTAACCTCCAACACAACACCACACCCTCACCCCCCCCCCCCACCCCCACACACACCACACAACAGCTGTTGGTAAATCTTTCAGTTGCTGAATTCATTAATGAATTAAATAAAAACTCACGTCACAAAATTCTTTGTTTTGGAATCAGATGTATGTTGTATCAGATGTATGTTGCATGAGACGTATGTTTGATGTAGGTTGATGTATGTTGTATCCGAGATTGTTTTATTACTCTATGTCCAGAGTTCTGGTAAGCATAAGTGGATCACAGGAACCAGATGACCTACTTTAATGACAACTGTAATTGTAACGTCACCTTGACCCAAATACTTTGCCAAAAAATGGCACAAAAACAAGATTTTTTTAAATGGTTATGAATTGATTTTAACACCCCCCCCCCTTTCCCCCGGCAAAGGCAGGTACCCTTAAACCTGGTACCTGAATCTAGAGTTTCCAGAACCTTCTCCCAAAAATCTCTTTATGCCCAGCTAAGAGAGCCAGTGGCCTCCATGAGCAACAATTAAACTCGACTAAATTAAACACGACCAAATTAAACACGACCAAATTAAACACGACTAAATTAAACACGACCAAATTAAACACGACTAAATTAAACACGACCAAATTAAACACGACCAAATTAAACACGACCAAATTAAACACGACTAAATTAAACTCGACCAAATTAAACACGACCTAATTAAACCGACTCTGTCAGAGGCGACACACGCAATTCACGGGACAAAAATCTTTCCAATTATTAAAAATCAACAGTTTGAGAATGACGTCATCATTTTGGTGGCGGGAGATGAAATCGATGAAATAAAAATGGAAGTTTCCAGAAATCCACTGCGATCTTCTGACTGTTTGAACAGTTCGTGTGAAAATTACTCATTGAAATATTTAATCATCTCTGTTACCAAGAGCAAGTTGGAAGGATTTTAAAATTTAGTTTTTTGTTTAAAAAAAAGGTGACATTTCCCCCCCCCCCCACTCTCTTAACCGCCCCTCCCCTGCCCTACCCCCCGCCCCGTCCACAGAATTGCTATGATGACTAGAACATTTCTGCCCTCCCCACTTTCGGGTCCACGAAATTCTTAAAAACTAGAACATTTCTGGTCCGTCCTCCCCTCCCACATTTCTGACCCCCCCCTCCCACGCCCCCCACCCCCCACCCCATCCCGTCCCGTCCCTAGAAGCTATTATGATGTCCAGAACATTTCTGTCCCCCCCCCCCCCCGCCCATCCCCAGAAGTTCTTATGATGTCCAGAAAATTCCTGTCTCCCCCTCCCCCCCCATCCCGTCCCCAAAATTTATTATGATGTCCAGAACATTTCTGTCTCTCCCCCCCCCACCACCCGTCCCGTCCCCAGAAGTTCTTATGATGCCCAGAACATTCCTGTCTCCCCCTTCCCCCCCCCCATCCCGTCCCCAAAATTTATTATGATGTCCAGAACATTTCTGCCTCTCCCCCCCCCCCCCCCCACCCGTCCCGTCCCCAGAAGTTCTTATGATGCCCAGAACATTTCTGTCCCCCCCCTCGCCCGTCCCCTAGAAGTTCTTATGATGTCCAGAACATTCCTATCTCCC